CCCAAAAAAAAAGAAGAAGAAGAAAAGAATCCCATGAACAAATAACTTTTCTTGCTTTGCTTTCTCCACAGACAAGTTTTATGATATAAGTAACGACGACTAATATCAGCTTCAAGGCCAAAGAGACTGTGTAAACTTCTAGAAGAATACCGAGTGTCATTTCAGACGAAAGCTTGCATTACTTTAAAATGTAAGGTACTAGAATAAAAGGAAACAAATTCAGAAACAGCAGCAAAAAGAACGAAGTCCGAACCAAACAAAACAAACTAAAACACGCGGTTAAAGGGAAGAATTACCCGTTTCAATGCTTTCCTTTGTGACAATGAAAATGATTGTCTGGGGTTCTTTTACATTCTTTGTCGTTTCATCTTCGCTTCAGTCGAATTCGACTCTGGTTTGGACTGGTGTATTTTTAATCAGCAATTGTTAAAAGTAAAAGAGACCCATTCTCTCCATTTTGTTAGTCAGAGTTGTAGCTTTCGCTGGTGTAACTGAGTAAAGGTAATTATTATTCTGCGAAGTGCACAAGAACTTACGCCACTGTGGTAATGTTTTCATTTAAACAAGGAGACATGTAGAGATGGCTCGTTTTTAAATTGGTTAGAATTAGGTTAAATTGCTAACCAAACTTAACACAAGTGAGTATTAATCACTTTTACCCAACACAACTTAAAACTAACCTTCAAAAAGTTGAGACCGTTTAGATTTAAATATCAAATAAATGCTTATGACTCATGTTTTCTTTAAGACTTAGATGGAGTGTGTAAGCAAGTGCTGATGTGTCTTGTTTTCACGCATGTCCATATTATTATGTGTATATAACTTATGTATGGTTGAGAAAGGTTTGTTTTTTTTTTGTTTTTTTGTATGTGTTTTACAGCGCTCGCAACTGCATAAGGTCGCGCGAGGCACAAATATTATTTTTAGTTGGTAGGAAATTTTGAATTTTGCCCGGGTGGCGGCCGAAGCCTACTCATATTGATTTTAGACCACCAAGGGATCTTTAACGTGCGCAACTTGCACACGGGCCCTCCGAGATTTTTCGCCATTGTCTGAGAAGGCTAGGTGTAGATCTTTCCTACCAGAAGATCAGGGGTGTGGTAGAAAGGCAGCTGGAGTCAAGGAGTAGCAGTAGAAAGGCTGCAGAAAGAGTCAGGAGCCCAGAAGAGGGGGCAAAGGAGGTGAGGGGGTGGGGGCAGAAAGAGGAGACGAAAGCAGACAACAGAATATTGCTAGAGAGCATGAAAGGAGGTGAAAGGAGACAATTTTTAGAGAAGAAAATTTTTCGGTCGCTACTCGGATTCGGACCCAGGACCTTTGAATGAGAGGCCAACACCTTAACCTCTAGGCCACGAGAGCCCCCAGTTCTTTCTTATAATTATGTGATTGAACTGGTTTTAATGTTTATAGAAAATGGTTTTTCTTGGCTGTATGAGGTTTTGCTCTCAGTATTCAGTCTATCGATATAAAGGGCCCAGGGCGTATACTTGTATGGGATAGAGCAATATAATATTAATTATATAATGTAATTTATTTTTGTCATTATTACTTGATGATGATGATGATGATGATGATGATGATGATGATGATGATGATGATGATGATGATGATGATGATGATGATG